TGTCCAGTGTCATTTGATAACAGAAAAAAATGGGGAGGTTTTCAGAGTTGAGGCAGCATTCTGAATATTTGATCAGGTGTTTCTGTGTATACAGCCTGCCATTAAAATAAGTAGTAACAATACACAGAAAACATCTGTGTTGTAATCTGTTTGCACTAAACCATGCAAAATGAAGCATGGGAAACAAAAGGGAGGAGAGGATGTCAGAGCCCAGTACTATTTGACCAAGTTCTTTTAGATGTTCCAAGCATGGAGAGTGTCACATTTAACATCAGATTTACGTATCTGAAGATAGTTGATATGACAGGGGATTTCTTATTTATCAGATTGATACTGAAAACACAATAAAAATATAAGTTACACATAGCAGAATACAGCAATTGCAATATATAGCTCAGTCCTGATTCCAGTGTGATTCCCACTGCCGGTCTCCATAATATTCACTGTCACAGTGCTGGGTGTCCCCAGTTTTGGTAGGACGGTGTCTATGGGTTGAAGCCAGCTCAAGCCCATTTCTCTCTTTTATTTTGCTAGTTTCCTGGGTTTTATACACTATGTTGTGCTGAGCCACATATACACTGCAGACAAGGAAGGCAGGAAACGAGGAAGAAGATAACATTAGTTCTTCAGTTTCACAGAGAAGAATGTGATTAGGTCCTTTTTGTGACTTTTCTGTTGAAAATAGCGAACATATGCAGTGAATACAACTGATTTTAGCAGTATGATTTAATTAATCTGGTTCCAGGCTGAGAGAAGGAAAAATGTGGATCACAGTTCACAATGACAGTGCTGAATATAAGAGTAACTGGACTGCTTTGCAGTGCTTTAACCTTATAATTTTTCTAGCACCCTCCTTCATTGCTCTTTGCATCTTTCTCTTGTTTTGTACATGACCTTAGAATACTTTCAGCAATATGTACTACAGATCTGTAGTAGTCCTCTACTTCCTCGGGGTTCTGTTCATATTACTAACCCATCTGCTTTTGTATTCTTTTCCCTGCAAAATTCTTGAGAAACCTGACTGCCAGCAAATACTGTTTTTAATTGTACCTGCATAGAATATTTCACAAAGCCCAGCACCAAAAGCAGTGTTTAAAGCACTGTGCAAAATATACATCATTAAATCAGTGTTACACGAGATGTTTGTGGAAGCAGGTATAATGGGGAAGAAAGTGCAGTCACAAAGGAGTCTGGAAGAGAGGTCAGGAGGTTGCTTTCCTAAGGTTGTGCTTTTTTTTTTTTTTTAATTCAGTCTTTCAAAACATTGCTGTACAGTGCTTTGCATTTTAAAAATAGCATGCTATGCACAGCTATTTATATTGTTAATAATAAATGATTATAATAATAATTGTTATTACATATTTAATATATAAGAACCTGGCAGGATAGTACTGGGTATAAAATGTGGTGTATATGTTTCATTAAACAACCTGCAGTTGTCCTTGCAGAAAATTTTGTAGAAATTATAGCTTCTAAGTTAAGATGGGTGATGCATTTTCTAATTAATATTATGCATCTAATTTCTTTTCTGAAAGAATTCTTATTTCCTTGGATGATGGTAGTCAAGCAAGTTGGTTGACTCGTCTGATGCCTTTTCAATCACTGCTCTCACAGGTGTTGAACTTGCCTGTCCTGTTGGACAGTTTGGGTGCATCAGCATCACATAGTGGGTTTTTTCTGCTGCAATTCAATAGTAGCTGTATTGGATCAGTATAAGGCTTATGAATAATACAGGCTTGTCAGTGAACTGTCTTCTCTGTATGAAGTAGTTCTCTGTGGGAGGTGTTGCTTAAAGATTCAGACCAATGTGTTGTACAGACGGGAGTCTTAGTGGTGTCTGTGTTAACATTTACAAACTACTGAGTTTTTGATCTGTTTCATAATCTTGTGTCATTAAGAGGCAGCCCAGCTTGAGCTATAAATATCTGTTCTAAATGTTAGTGATAGTAACTCTGACTTATCTATCACTGTTTGCTGAGGGGGATTAAAAAAGCAGTATGCCATATGGTTACCTCCATTTTATTCTCTCTTTCTCAGTTGTCATATCCCATAGTGATTCGGGGCTGCAGAGTTACAGTCATGACTGACCTCCTGCCTTCGGTTCAGATTTTTAAATGCAATCTTTCCAACTTTAATATTTTGAATTTTTAAATTTGAATTATAAAAGTGAGCTTTTTTCCCCCAGAATTACTCCCCTGTTGACTGTAGCTCTTTGCTCAGATGTTTCCTTGTCTGTGTTAAAGCAACATCCAAAGATCTGTGTTCCAGCTCCCACCCTGCTGTGTGGTGTACAGACACACAGGAATGCTCACACCTTAAAGGAAGATGCCACAATACTTTGTAACACCTTTTTTAAGGAATTGGGGAGGAGAGCTTGGCTCTGCCAAGAGTATACAGCTACACTAGCCATGTTAATCTTATTATATATTGCAGTAGTAGCTGGAGGCACCACCTGCATGTGACTTACTGCTGTGTGCAGTGGGATCATACATGAAACGGAAGAGTATCTCAAGCAGCTCTCCTCTGTGTAGGGTAAATTCCTATTGTCTAGCCTGCACTTTCAGTAACTTTCTGGTTTTTAAGATTGTTTTATTAGTACTTGAACACTGGAGTGGGTCAGTTTATGAAAGGAAAATTTTGGATAGTAAAAGATGCAACAAATTTTACTTATAATTAGTAAAGAAATCCTTTGGTTACCTGAAGAAGAGAGACCCTATATTGGACTAATATAACTCCAGTATTGGATACCCTTGTTTGACAGGAGCTGCCAGACCAGGCAGCAGTGTTGCTGTAAAACTAGATACAATTCATGCTGTTTCTTACCCAGTTTGGGGTGTGCTAGGGCACGTACAGAAGAGCTGAGCTGACTGCAGTGTGGCAAGAGGACAGAGACAAATTCATAGGAAGCCCACCTCATTAGTTCCACTGTTCAAAGAACCAGTTGTTTTTCACTGAGATTTTTAAATTAACAGTGTCCATTTATATTACAGTGCCATGTGTGTGGACATTATCGGTCTGCTATTTAATTAAAACCACAGCTGGTGATCATTTAATTATAGTGTACAAAAGGGAATGATACTTACTTGACTATGTAGCGTTGTCTTATTCAATTTAGAGAATTGTAGCCATTTTTTCATATATTATTTGAAAGCTGTGGTGAAGGATGCATGATCATGAACAAACTGGTGAGCTTCATTGCAACACTTCCCCTCTGTTAAGGGAATAAGGTGAAACAGTGGCTTATAAATTCACCAGCTTTCCTGAAAATTGGAAGTAAATTATGAACAGATTGGTACAGTTAGGCTGGTTTTTGTTTCTCCACACTGTAAAACCACTGCATAGTTTCCTGTGGTAGGAAGGAAGTCCTTCTGCTGAAGGCCAAGAATACTTAAGAATATTCAGGTTATTTCTGGCTTTGTTAAGAGATATAAGTGTACATACTTGAAAGAAACTCTGTAGCATATGCCTGTAACAGGACTGAATTACTGCTTTTTCACTTGAAAAATTAGACTGCCTTGAGAATCTTAAACCTGCTGTAACACAAAATTGTGTATATTCGTACTGAAACGAGTAACTGCATGTGAGTAAGAAGTTTCTGTAGCTGACTTAAAAATACTTTCAACTGCAGTCACAAATGAAGATGTCCAGAGCTTCTAGGATAACTAGTTACACTACACGTAACACTGCAAAATTCACATCTAAAAATCTTTATAAAACTATCTTTTCTGTCTTGAAGCCAGAGGTGGCCCTTTCTATAACAATGGGAATACTGTATGTGAAGAAGCTATTGCTGAATGATCTAGTCTTTCTGCTGTCATACATCTACTTTCACATGTCATCACATGCAAACACCTATAGTTTTGTCTTTCACTATTGTAAAGGTAAAATGATATCAAAATAGGACTCGTTAGAACATTAACTAGAAATGGAACAAGAAAAATAACTTAAAAGTGACCCACCCAATAAAATGTCAGAGTGAAGAACTGAAACTGGCTGAAGGACTAGGAACAGGTTTTGTATTTCAATGTGAATCTTGGCAGCAGAGCAGTGTTTGCTGAGTTACTTGGTCTGGTGTGAAAGGTCACTTTTGTTTTCTCATCGAGTATAACTTGGACTTCTTTATTACTACAGAAGAAAGACTTCAGAATTAGTAGCTAGTTTTCTTCCTGGACTTTTTGGTCATAGTTGTCAGTACTGAGTGTTGAATTCTAGCTGATGCCTTTGGTGTAATGATGGATGGGATATTTAAGGACAGGAAGAGAGTGTGAATGAGTCACAAGTATAGGATTCTTTTAAGAATTCTTCTTCATTTCTGAGTTATGTAGCTAAAGTAATTCAGATGATGTTAGTTATCCTAGTCTGCTCTATGTTTCCACATCCTATCAGTAAACTGTAGAATGTGTCTTTCTTCAAAAGGATCTACAGCAAAAATAAAAACAGTTCTTCATGTGTGGCTTCAGTTGATTACAGTTATTGAAACTCACTGGTGTGGGACAGAGAAGAATAAATACAGAGCAGTAGCTCAAAGTAGAGTAAACTTTACTTGCAAAATAAAAACAAATACTATGCATGGAGTTACTCCCTTCACCAAACTGATAACCTCTATATGTCTGAAGACATCAAAACATACACCTTCTTTTATAATACAAATCTGAGTCAACATTTAATGTAAGGTTTTATAACACAAGACTCAAACTACTTTCTGTTAAACTAATGTTAGAACTAATGTACACATTTCCAGCTGAATTACACTTTTTTGTATTTATTCTTATAATGTGTTTTCTGATGAAGGAACATGTGTGCTGTCTGGGGAGAATTCCATGTAAAAAGTATTTAGTAGCATGTGGATTTTTTTTAAACTTTTGTATACTAAAGTTCCTGCTATGGCAGAAATCCACAGATACTGTGGCTTCAGTATAATACTATATCTTCTTTCAAATGCTACTGGTGCTACATGGCTTGTGAACTGGTTAATTTTTTTCTTTCCTTTTGTCTTCTAGCTTCATTTAGCAGCCCTGGCTTCATTAAAGGGAGACATAGTGGAGCTTAATAAACGTCTACAACAAACAGAAAGGGAGCGTGACCTGCTGGAAAAGAAATTGGCAAAAGCACAGGTGAGCAATAGTTCAAGATTCTGAAGATGGTCCTCTGTTTTGTGTTGTCCTTGTTCTTCAGAGGGGAGTGGGGTATGTGGGGAGAGGATAAAATATGTGAACAATGTCACAGGTGAAAAGAATTTTAAGACTGCAAGAAGCATAGTTGCTGTGGGGTTTAAGTTTTATGTGCTGATGACATTCTTCTGAAAATTACAAAGAAATAATTAGATCAGTTTTGTTTTGAAGCCAATATGAACCGCGACTACTTTGAAATATTTTATAACACAGAAATTACTGCATACTCCCAGTAGATTAAGTAACTGATTGCAGAGCCTTCCACTCCTGCATCAGATTCAAACACAGCACAAATTAACACTGATCAAAAGCTATTGCCAATTGGCAGTGCTTGAGTGGTATGTGAGAAATTATTTGTGATCTCAGTCTAGCTTCTAGTAAGCCAGTTTGTATGTATCTATTGTGGAAAACACAGTCAGTGGAAAGCCAAGGGATTAAATAAGAATGAGGTCTGAACTCTAAGGCTTTCATAGCTCTTAAAAAACTGTCTTTTCAAATCAAGATAAATGTAGAGAGCCAAATGCAAACAAGGAAAACTGAACTGTTGTTCTTAATATTTCTTCTATAAATGAAACCTTTGTTTTCAGATACTGTCATTCCAGCAAATACCTTTTATGAGTACTTGACATTTCAAAACTAATTCAAGATATATACTCATTTATACTTGCATAGAGACAGTCAAAACATTTTGTCCTGTAAAGTATAGCATCTTATTTGTTGCCCAGAGAGGTGCAGTCTCCCGTCTTGGAAGTACTGAATCCACTGGGACCTGATCTTGAGCAACCCGCTCTAGGTGACCCTCTTTGAGTTGTGTAAGGGGCTGGATGAATGTTCTCCAGAGGTACCTGTCAACCTCAACCATTCAGTGATTTTGCAAATTTAGAATCTTCAGTATTCAGTGTATTTTGGTAGGGGCTTGTATCTGTGTCTTACTTTGTGGCAGACGCACCTGCCCAATGAAATTGTGGCTCCCTGGCTGTTGAACCTTTCCTGTGCCCTTGTTCTCAGGGCTTTACGGTATTTGGGGTCTTTGGCCAACAGGGGCTGGTATTGACCGCAGGTCAGATTCAGCTGGGGTATCAATGGAGTCCCGGGGGGAGCCATTTGGAGCTCGTCCCGCCCGGAGCCGTGTGCTGCAGGTAAGGACTCTCCCCTTGGGTTGGGACTCCCCCCAAGGAGACTCCTCGGGGTTCCTACGGGTTGGGACGCTGCCCGGAGATGTTCCCCGAGGTTGAGAGTCCTCACCTTTTATTAGGGGAGTGATTGAGCGTTTTGGGTTGTCGTTAAACCCCTGGTTGGTGTTTTGGGTGGTTGTTAAACCCCAGAAGTTTGTGTGGTGATAGTTTGTTCTCCTCTTACGGACATTTGGAACCATTGTCTGTATGTTTGAGGAATGTTGATTAATTGTGTATAAAAATAAATGTTAGGGTTTTTTTAATTGTTAATTGGTTTGGGAGTTTCCACAACGTACTTAAGCCAAGTGTAGAAATGTTTAAGCAGTCTAGATTTGAAGGCTCTTACTTCAGTCCTCCAACCATATTCTGGCCTTTGTCTGCATTCTCTGATGTTTTTTCAGCCACCTTTAAAGTTTTGGGGCTTTTAAGTGGTAGTCTTATTGCAGACCATCAGTGCAACATCCAGAAATAAGACATGCTTTCCTCCCAATATGTGAACCAGAACCACACTGGCAGTTAACATTGTTTATCAACTATAATTCTGAGAGCCTTTTCTAAGATACTCTCAAATAGAGTCCTCTTTCTGACACAGTTTGATAGGAGGCTGCATCTGACAATCGCTAAACAGTCAGATGAATCCACTGTATCCAAACAATCCACATCATGACTACACTGACTTTGTTGTTACTTATAACTGCAGAGTCTTGTGTTAACCACAGGTTTTTGTTAGTGTTTTAGTTTTATTTCCAGATTTTTGTTTAAAAATACATATAACATCTCTCAGCCAATGAAGAGTGCCTTTTAGGTGCTCCCATACAGTAATGAATACCCACTGATGATGACTGTGATTAAGGATCAGTCTTTAATCCCTATTAACATGTGCTCTGTTAGCATGAGATTGGTGTTTTCTTTGATAGGTTACCAGTTATGCATGTGTATGTAGTGCTCTATTTGTAATGCTGAGGGTTTTTACATGATCTTGGGCTGTGTGCTTGTAAACACAAGTATAGTGATGACTGCCACCCAAACTGTGAATAACACAAGCACACTAGCTTTCAGATTAAAAAATTACTTTTTAAAGAACAATTTCTATAAAGTTTTAATGTCTTAGCTTTTCTCAAATTTATTTTCTTTTAAAAAGCCCTCAAGTAGGTAGAAATGTTTTGGAGTGTGTATTAAATATATATTTTTTTTTAAGGAATAAGCCATTAAACAAGCACAATTCATATTCACTGTGCTGACCATGTTTAAGTACTGAGACAGACTCTGATGAAACCACTTTACCTTTTCTTCTTTTTCTAACTGAATCACTTCCATGTAGATGCTCCACTTAACATAATTTTTTGAACTTTTCCTCCCACTCCACAGAGATTCATCCAAATTCAGATCATGTGTCATATAATACAATTTTTGCCTCTACAACCTCTGTCTAATGTATTTCTTCCTCACTACCGCAAATCAAGAGATTCAGAAGGCATGAATTAAATAAGAGGTGTTTGAGGTTCTGCATAACCATATTCAGATGCTAGTGGGTCAGTATTAAATCTCTATTCTGCATCTGGACTATACTTAGAAAGGCAGCACATGTTTCATTTCAGCTGGCATGGTAAATGCTCTCTGGAACAAATAACTCTTAAAACACATTTTTGGTGTTACCTTTCCCATCATTTCATGAGGCATGTGAGGCACTTTGGAAGAAAGGATTAGTGATTTGCAGAGCAGAGGTGATTTGGGGAACCACAATTCAAGTAATAGATGACAAATGGTGAAGAAAGATAGTTGGAGAGCCTGTGCTTAAAATTTTGTACAAGGACGTAATTGATTTCTGGTTGTTGTATCATGCTCGTTTCCAAAACTGCAGTCTGTGGAGACCTGCTATAGCATTTGACTACACCCTTCTATTATTTCAGTAAGACAGCAGATTTCCTTGCCTCTGTGTTGTACAATTTGGCAATGGAGAAATCTCTTGAATGAAATTTGCTGTAAAGTACTGGTCAACCACAACTAATGTCTTCTTCCAAAAATCTTCCTGTGGTTATGAGAAGAAAAGTAGTGCTTTTTACTAGCTCTGTCTGGCACGATATCCTGGCTTTGATAATGATAAATAGTGGAAGTCTGGAGGGAAGAGCAAAAGAAACACATATAAAGAATTGTCCTCCTTCATACTCCCCCACCTTTCTGCCAACATCTGTGAGTAGGATGCTGCATCTCATTTAATAGTCCTCTATGGTCCTATCCTCAATGGATTTCTCTAATCTTCTTTCTAATTCGTCTGCATTCTTGGCATTTCCTACATCCTGTGACATTGAGTTCTGCAGTTTTATGATAGAACATGGGATTTAATAACTTGCTGAACATTTCAGCAAATACAAGAAGAATAGACAATTCATTTTACTACATCTTTCTCATAATTTCATCTCCTTTCACAAGGTAGTCCTGTTCTCTCCTTCTTTGTGCTTAGTCCTTACAATTTTGGAATTTTGTAAAAGCTCTAGACACAGGGTAACAAAGGCTGTGCTGCATCATTCTGGATCCTGTATCACACAGCAGCGAGTCCCATTACTGCAGTAACAATTCTTTACCATCCTGTCAATTACTCAGAATATAGAGAGGGACAGCAGAATTTCAGTATAACAATAAAACCAACACTGTAGGCATGTAAGAACATGTGAACCTCACAGAAAGGTTTCAGTTTCTCATTTAACACAGTAACTTGAAATAGAAATGCATGGTGTTCAGGTGAACAATGAAATTACTAATTCTGTTGTGTGATGTCCGTATTTCACATGGATTAGTCCTGTGTGCTTGTATTCTTCTAGTATACACAGAATATACCATCAAACAGTTAATTCTGATGATGCATGTGTTTTTGTGATTGAGGATTTGGAATAATGGATTTGAGTTTGTACTCAAAATTAGATTAATGGATTGCCGCTTTAAAATTTGCCACTCCTCTTGAAACACTGTATTAATTGAGCAAAGATTGTTAGCTCCAGCCTGTTAGGCAGGTTTATCATTGTGGCTCATTCAGGTGATGACTTGTATTCTTGGTGAACAATGCCATAGCCACTGTTTGTCGCTTCAGGGCCTGAGGCACTGGGGCATCTCCTAGGAGCACTGCTGCTGGTGCCTCTTTTTTTTTGTACTCTGACTGGCACTGCAAATTTAACATCAAGGTTTGCACTGGTAGTGTTTCTGGGGCTAGGAATTTGTGTACATTAATAGACAGTAGAATCATGTGTTGAGATGAGATCCTTGGGTTAAACTATTTTCTCTTGTCACCCTTCTCCGTCATACTCTTCTTGTTCTTGTAGTTGTTTCCCAGCATCAAGAGGTCAGACAAAGGTGTTTCCAGGCATTGCTAATTTATACTGTAATTGAAATAACCTTTTTAGTCTGTACTAAAAGCTGCCAAGGGTCACTTACACCGAGAACTGTGTTGGAAACTTCTCTCCTGACCTCAGCAATTGATCATCTTTTGCAGCCTCTCGGTGGATTATCCCTGTGTTTGCTTTATCAGAGAATTAGAGCTCTTAATGGTTTTGATCAGAACAAGTATGAGGCTGGAAGAGGGATGAGGAAAAGGATGTAAAGTATTTATCTTAAAAAGTTGATGTGAGTGACATGCAAATAAATTGCAAGAGCTGAATGTGTACATCTTGGAAAGAAATAGGAACTGGTGGCAGGTGGTCGTTCTGAGACTCAAAGGGCACAGAAACTAAAGAGGATGATGAACATGTTCAGTATCCCAGAAAAATATTTTATCAATGGGTACCAAAACACGCATCTGTCCCTTTTCCCTTTAAGCTTTGGGATGAATGTGCCATAATAAGGAGCAATCCTGCATAACCAGAAGAATTTTCCATTGCTGCATTTTGGGATTCATACTGAACTATGTTTCCATTGTTTGGTTGCTTTTGCCTTTTTTAGTTGAGTCTTGTCATGGCTGACCAGAACTTACAAGATGTAACTCTGTACCCACCTCCAAGGCACAGCAGTCCTTCATGTCCTGTCTTTCACAGTTTTCCTTTCTGCCTTTTCCAGTTACTTTTGCCCAAGATAATTCAAGAGCCCTTTAAAAAAATCAGATGTGAAGCTGTTGTCCTTCCTATACTGCAAGACTGATAGTGGTTCACAAAGTGTGTCTGCTACTAAATGATGGTTATCCTGAAAAATGGTGACTGAGAAGTGGCTGGAGAAAACAGAAAGCAAGTCTGGTAATGTGAGTGAGGTCCATTAGCAAGAGCCCATATATCTTCAGTCAAGATAAACTAATTCTGCTTTTCAGTGCACAGCTTAGAAAGACAAAAATTGTTGTGATAGGGTCTTTATTTATTGTCTGAAAATAATTATTATCCACTACATCTGAAACATCCTTTTGGTTTAAAAGAGAAAAAACAGTGCACGTAATTGATTGATTTGGATTATGCTTAAGTATTTGCAGGTATCAATGTATGTTATAGGAAATTTAGGTTTGGAAAGGCAGAATAAGCAACTCCTTTTATTGCACTTAAATCTATTCTAAAGCTTTTGTTAAACATTTTCTCTGTGTTATTTCTGCACTTTGAAAGCTATGGTATTTCTTCAGCCAGATACAATGTTAAGATACAGAAACATGAGAAACAAGTTGTGGAATTATCCTACAATAAAGAGACATTATAATATACATGTATAACCGTGTCAGTTGCCAGCATGAAGTCTTAAAAGCCCAGGTGAACATTACCAGTCTTCTAAAATGTGACCCTTTGCTCTCCTCTTCACTGTGAAAATATGGTCTGTTTGCCTTAGTGTAGGTGAAAGTGCTTTTGACTCCAGCTGGAGTAAGAAACTATTTTGTTGTAGTCTGTGAAAGGGTGCTCTAATGACTGGGCTACCTTTAAATGTGCATATTCCTGGAACTTAAAGTATTGAAATACATATTATTTAAAATTTAGAAGAAAAATGTTATTGAACTCAATGTGAAATTTAGTTTTCCAGCAGCCTCTTATGTAGAAGATGTTCTCAAGCTGTGAATGTGAGCAGCCAAAAAATACTAGGGCAAGCTATGAAAATTCTGGTATACCTGCTAGTTTGGGTATGATTTTTGTATTTATGATAGAAAGAGTTGAAGGAGTTACCTCTGCATAGAGTGTTTACTTGATTTGAAAATACTAGTTTTGATGTAGTAATGTTAGAGGAACTGACAGATTAGTATAAATTGTAGCCTTTAGAAATGTTAATAGGATCTTATATTGTAGGTCTTCAGTTAACGAGTATGGATTTTATACTGTCAGTTGGCTTGTGAGTTTTCTTTTATTGACAGCATAGTACATACCATTCTGTGGCTGCAAGGAGGCTTGACTGTTTCCTGCAGAGGGTCAGAAGCAAAATGTTAAAAGCTCTTTACAGCCACTACCAAGCATAACTTCAGTCAACATGCACTGCCGGATTGTAGTTGCAGTAGATTGTGTTTGCTGTAACTGAAGTAGAGTGTTTGCTGACCAGAGAAGCTAGATTTAAAATTCTATTGGAAAGAAGAAGGACAATTTTGTGATACATATAAAAACCAAGCAGCCATGTAGCCTTTTAATTGTTCAAATAATAGGCATTTTATTGGAGAGGATTACAATAATAAAAACCATGCTATGTTATCTTTAAAGGCTAATAAAAACAAATACTCATACTAGAGAAGAAGTCATAACCTCAAAGTATGGTTACTTTTCTTTATAATCATGTGGTTTCTGCCTTAGAACTTGTTCTAACTCAGACCATGTTGGGAAGGTTCTTGAAGATTCATGATGCATCATGAATCTCACAGATTCAAATATGAGATATTTTTAGCTATTTTGAGTTGTAAAATGGTAATTTTGTTCAAGCAGGAAGGTTAACTGCTGCCCTTTAGAAAAAAATAATAATAAAAGTGCACTGCACAGTCATTTCAGTTTCCTTCAATCTTGTAATTACATACCTTTGTGTACCTGTTGGTATTTTGCATGTCCTTTTCTCTTGCTAAGGCATTGTTGGGTTGATGAGTAAGGAAACCATTAATGGCGTGCAGTTTGTCCTTTTGTCTGATCTCTGTGTAGTTATTCATAAGATGCTTTCTGTTCCTTGCTTCTCTGCTTTAGTGTGAACAATCCCACCTAATGAGAGAGCATGAAGATGTGCAGGAGAGAACAACACTACGCTACGAGGAACGAATCACAGAGCTGCACAGTATCATTGCTGAATTAAATAAGAAAATTGATCGACTACAGGGAGCAACAATAAGGTACAGAAGCTTGTTGGAAATTCTGGGCCAGTGCAAGAATGGTGCAAAACATTCTGTGAATTATACTCTAAATATAATTTCATGATGACTTCAATGTAGTTAGGCTTGTTATGACTGGTACTGAGTAGCTGCCCGTAGTTAAGGTACGTGTTCTGAAGTGTATCATCCAGAGGCTCAAAAGTGCTACATTCTCTATGGCAAAATCACACTTTGCAAAGCCTAAAAAGAACTACGAAGAGCTGTACTATGCCATCTAAATATTCCTTTAATGTAACATACATGCCAGGGTACCAGATAAGTGTTGGCCACCCAGCCTGCACCTCTCCTTTTAACATTATCTTGTGGTATCCTATTGATCATCTCAGTCAAATCACTTGTGGAGAAAAATATGTCTCAAATGGATTTCAGTAGGTTTTGCATCTACTTGTACTGGTATTTGTGACAAAACACAATGATACAAAATCATATTGCTTGTCCTTAGAGCAGCAAAGCTTGGGATATTACACTAGGTCATTAATTGTTACTGTGTTAAAATTAACTTTATATTTGACTACAGGAAAATACTTATTTTTCCTCACTTGCTTTTACTCACTATTCTCAACCTAGACAAAGTTGGACTAGAACAAGGAAGGAGCTTCTTAAAATTCAGCTTGTGAGGATGCAACTAATCTACGAGTCTGTGAATTTTCCAGAGGTCACCAAATCAGATTTGGCACTCGTAGGTGATGTTGACATGGTGCTCTACCCGTGTAGCAAACTTTCAGTTTTCCTTGTCTGTTACCTGCAATTTTTTGATAACTGCTTCATTTGTTCTTCTTTCGAAACGTTTCACTTAGCACAAGTCAGTGTTACAACTACTCACTTAGCCTTTCATGAAAATATTTATAGGCAAAAAGAAAAAGGTTTGGTGTAACATAAATTAGAGAAAGTACCATCACACATATGTACCACTATAAAAACAGTGATAGAATCATATTATGTTAATGTTATTTAAGAAGATGAATCCTGCCAACTCTTGAGATTATTGTAACTAATAATGATCATGGTGAGATATTTCAGGTAAGTATTTTCTAAAATGGTAGTACTTCTCTGCAAAAATCCCTGTGACTCCTTTGTTCATTCATGCTTGATACCTCTGCAGACAAACTTCCCATTCATCTCGTTTCAAGTCACCTTTCTTTTCAGCATGATTCTGGCTGCCCATCCCACCCTCCTCTCTGGTAAAGCTCTACCAATTGCAAAGGCTGGTTGAAAAGCAAAATCTGAGAAGCGTGAGAGCTGCGTTGATTTTCCTTTTTTTTTTTTTTTTCCTTGAATGGCAGAAGAACTCTATGGCATTTAAGAAGGATATTACATAGAATCCATAAAAATGTTTAGCTAGACGTCCCATGGCAAGCCAAATGCCAAGTTGTCTTCAATTACAAAATACTGGAATCGAGTGGATACTGTGGATGTTTAACCATGTTGATAAACAGGTCAGCTGCGGCATGCAGAGGAAAGTGAGGTATAAGAACCGAGCTTGATGGGAAGCACGTGCTGCTTCTCTTGAGAAGTGCAGCTTTGCTGCCCCTTTGGAGGGTGCAGGCTTTTGAAAGCATCAGAACAATACTGCTGCAAGAGGTGCCACACCTCTGTCCTGTCCCACCCCTTTCATCTTACAGTGTGAGAGCTGGTTTTGCTCAGACAGCTAGGATGCCTCCTCTGTTTTTATTTGTTCTGGCTTTATTAGTAAGAACAAACATATTTATTTAGTGGATTTTTAAATTTCCTTTGATGATTGGAATAGCTTGTTTTCTTTGGCAAGCCAATAATTTGGTGTCTGGGGAACAGAGGAATAATATTCCTCCTAAAAACAACAAGCAGAGGTAGAATTGGAGAGATTCCATACAGTTTGCAGAGACAACTGAAAGAAGGAAAACTGATACTTCCTGCTGTGACTTTCTGTAAATCCGCTGTGGGATTTACTTGTGTCACTCCTGAGAAGCTATTCTGTCCCACAGAGCCAGGGTGGTGTAATTGCTGTCCTTGCTGGGACAGGTTTGACTCTCAACGCTCCACTCTTGACTGTGGGGGCTCTGTGCCTGCGAGCTGGGACAAAACAGCCCCGAGAGAAAGGGTTCTGGGAGCACGGCCCTGCTAGTGCCTCGGCATTTATCCTTTCCTCTAAATCAGAACACAGGAGGGATTTCAGTTTTGATGTGACTCTTGGATACCTGCAAGTACTACTGAGTGGAGGCTTTACTTGTGCTATCACAAAATTTAGTCTGTCTTTCTGGAAACAGTTTTCTTGCATATATATTAATTGCATAGCAGATAAGTGTTTCCCCCAGTGCTGAAGCAGAGATTGTTCAGTATTTTCATGTATTATTTTTAGGCTGTAAAAATAAACTAACTTGTAGCTTAATGTACTGCTGCTTTATGACATTGATGGTTCCTTACAAAACCTAAAAATATTCTGGAAACAAAGGAAACTGGAGTTTCATGGAGGGTATTTGACGATCCTCCTTAAGCTATATTGGTTTTTTTATTTGTAGCTCTTCATTTGAATGTGAGTAGTACCCTCAGAAAGTAAGCAGAAAGAGTGCTTAAATCTGAATAAGGTATTGCAACAGTTTGAGGAACGTTGGCAGGCTGTATAAACTAGTTAATATTCTCCTCTCCAAGAATTTTTCTTTGTTTTCTGGTGTGTTTTTCCCCTCCCCCACCCCCCCACCCCCCACCCCCCACCCCGCCTTGCAATGTCAGGGGTTTTACACAGCTTGAAGTATAATAGCTTTTGCTCATGTGGTTTAGTAATGTCAGCTCTAGAAAACAGCTTAAATCACAAGTCAATGTCTGTACCTCTTCCCAGGTATCTTTGATATGCTGATCTTAGTAACAGTAATCTTACGGAAGTATTTTTAGAAGTTTCCAGGGTTGTTCTAGATTTGCTAGCCATTTCTTGGGTACAGCAAGTTCCATGTGTGTGGCCACATGAAGTTAGGTGCTGCTCTTGCGCTATGTTTTTCCAGCATTCCCTAAGGATATTGAGGTCACCGTTGTTGTGTGACCAAGCCAACATTCATCTACAGTTGCCTCATCTCACTACTGCTGCTGTGGACAGCCCAGCTGGTTTGGAAGCCCAGTCTCGCCAAAAAAAAAGCTGCACTACAGCTGTAACTGATCTGATACTAAGGCTAAAAAGAGAGTTGCCTGTATGCATACTGTGCAAGCAGATGAGCCTCTTGCTTGCCTAGTTCTTCATGTGTGACAATGCAGAATTTACCTACTACCAGCTGAAGAATGTAGCAGTTTGGGAGAAAAAGACGCTAAAGAAGTCCATTAGGATGAGGATGCTTTTTTTATTTGAGCAGTCTGGAGACATAATAAATCTTGTCTCTATTTTTTCTTGGAGAATTACAGTTGTGTGACAGTGTCCTACTGTTCTTGCCTACATTTTTAGAGAGAGAATGGGAGGAGGTGGCTAGTATTTTGCTTCAGTTCATTGTAAAACTCAGCTCACAGGCTTTCATCAAACATTGCAAGACTGTTGGGCAGAAGAGCTTACGACAATGGTGCAGAGCACATTTTGTCAGCTTCCTTTTGAGTGAACAGCTTTCAGTGAGTGATGCTAGCTTGGGCTTCCTGTTACCATGTCAGATGGATGCTGGTGGCCGTGTTACCCCTACTTCTGCTGTTGCCATTTGTAGAAGACAGGGTTTTTGCATTGCAAAGGTTCTCTGTCCTTTGACAAGGTATATGCCTACTCCCATTTTCTCTCCGAGTGTGTACAACTTACAAGACAGCAAATCCAATCAAATGGATCTTCCCAATTGGAGAGTCATACTGTAAATACTTGGACAGAAAGGATACACCTGATAACTCTGGAGCACAGAAAGGATTTACAAATTACACTATAGTGTACTAAAAGGGAATTATATCTGTGTTAAAGGTGTATGTTCCCGACTTCAGAAGTTTTAGTATTGTCTTATATTCATTCAAACTAAACTCCTCTTTTTCTTAATCATATCTTTGGCTGGCAAAATCATCTGTAAATTGGTTGTGCAGAAACAACTTTGGCCTATGACTGACAGTCATTCTTAGATGTCCAATTGATGTTCAGCAAAAGGAAAAAAAAAAAGAAATCAGTTTGCTTTTAGTTCTAAACCAGTGGCTGGCTGGGTATGTCTATGCAACTCCAAAAATAATAAGCAACATTAATAATAATACCAAACAGAAGTACACTCTGTTGAACATTGGTCCCGGCTAAGGGTTATTTGAAACACTTGTCAAGAAGTTTGTAACCCATTGCTATAAAACCATTGGTTCAGACTTACATCTTTTGATCTGAAATATATTCAGAAAGTATGTTGTATTAGAGTTAATGAGGAAGAAGAAGGGTGAATAGACTACAGTATCACAAGAAATAACACGTCACTTATAGTCATATTTACACAATGACTTGGAGGTCTGATTCTAGCTTCGGAATGTGTGCTGGGTGGAAGCTACTTGGATTCAATTCACATGGCAGTGTGAGTGTGATAGTGTTGGCTTCAGCATAGAATGTTCAGCCCCGCGTGCCTTCAGTGATTAATTCCCATGTTGTTGCAAGTATGACCTAAAGTGTGAAACTATGCACTGTTTGCAGCCGTGAAGAGAATGTGCAACCTGCTAGTGTCCTGGCAGAACTCGTCAGTGGTGTGAAAGGATGCTGAAAGTGCACAGTTTTGCTCATTATTTGATCAAGTTTTTCTCAGTGTCTGTGCAGCAGTTGTCATCCTTGGTGGCATCCAAATATGAAAAAGGCAGTAGATGTGGGCGTACCTGTAAAACACACTTTTTGGCTCCAGCATTGATCCCAGGCCAGGCACAGCTTGATCTGATCTTAATTGCCTCCAACTCATCATGACATTTCAGCAGCTGGTTACCGTCAGGGCCCATAGGAGAACAAGTACTTGCTTTCTCCAGCCAGGCCCTAGATGACAGCAACAACAAGGAAGTTGTAATGCCTCCACCTTCTGGGTGGTGTGGCAGGAGCTCAGTGGCTAGTCATCATCAGCTGTTGGGCACCTTGCATTTCCAGTGACACCAGAGGACTCTTCTCATGTTTGGGGGAAAGGGGAGTCTCAAACAGTATCTTGTTACTGCCAACTTCAGTATTAAAGGCAGAACATATATTTGTGGTGCATTGCTCCCCTTGAATTCCCCCTTGTGTTTTTAGCCCTTAGTCTGCTTCCTGTGAGACTGATGGTAGAGAGATGGATTGACCTAGCTGTCACTTTACCAGAAATGCACTTCTGATCTTTCTGGTCAGGTCTTAGAAGCATTAGTTCACTCAGAAACTGACTTCTGGCTTGAGCCATCAGAATAGTGTGAGTTCTTCCTCATGACATGCTTTTCAGCTGCCCCAAGATACTGAGGGTGCTTAAACTGAGAAAACAGAGCTAGTGCTAGCTAGATGAAGCTGTGTTGGACTTTAAACAGAAAATCTGCAACAAGAGCCAGAACGAGTGGTGAGAAATTATTATTGTGTGTGACATTGTTTTATGATCAGTACAGCCTCTTGTCCATTTATAGAGGTAAATCAAGTTTTATAAGTGTGGGACTAATTATTTCATAAATGATAAAATTAATTACCTTCAGATTAAAAAAAAATGTAACTGAGTGCTTGGTAATTGTATTTGTCTGAAGCTAATTACTACTGGCTTGTGCTGTGGCTAATCAAGTTCACATAACATTAACTCGTGCTTATGTGTCTTTATTACACTGTTTTAATTCCTCCTATTCATGATTTAGTTCTCACACTTTCTTAAATGTGCATTGTGTGATACCTTAAAGACCTTTCTTTGATCTAAATCTCAGTTTTAACCAGCTGACCTACATTTTTGTTTAATAATAGTCATCAAGCACTTCTGATAAGGTCAGACTTTCTTTGCACTGAAGCAAATGTAAGGGGTAGGAGAGCTTAATAGTTCCTGTAGAAATTATGTCTCAGCAAGCTGAAATTCCTTCTTCGAGTTGGCCTGGTTCATAAATTGTCACCTCTGCTACTTTGAGAGCAGACTTTGCTTCTGTCATTGTTCCCTGTATGTATGGGCCATCTTCTCTGATATTTTGCCTGGCAGATCCAGGCACACCTTCAGGCTAAATCCTGCAATACTCCTGCAAGAAACACTCATCACCATATAGCATACACGCAGCAGACTTAACATTACATGTGCCCCTCCCAGATCCAGATCCCCAGATAACTCTTTGCTATTTCTTGTTTTCAAATCCAGACAGTTCCATTCTCACACTTTTCTGCTGAATCTGCAGCAAAATGAATCTCTGCATTTGATTTAGTGTGTAAGAAAAAGATGGTTGTTTGCTTATTTATCAGAGCAGCTCTGCACCTGGATAAGCTGGTGTTATTCTCATGTTCAAAATACATACTTTAGTGTCAAAACAGTCACTATGGAAGTAAAAAAAAAAAATAAAATTCTGGTTTGAATCAGCAAGTGGATCAAAAGAAAAAATGTTTACAAATGTTTTCAGGCAAAGCTATTATTCATTTACTTATCTTCTTTCCCAGTGCTTTGAACTCCTCATGTGGAGACAGGAGGGAAAAGCCCTAATTTTTTAAGCTCATTAGCTTTAGCTAAAGTATTCTGTCCTCAATTATTTTAGTAGAACCAGCTTGACAAATAAGTTAAAACCTAGGTAGTTTTGGCTTTTTATTTTCCACTAACTCCAGCAGTTTTATACTCACCTATTCTCTTACTTTTGAGAAGAGAAACAAAAATCCTACCAGTCCCCAAGAGCGTTTTGATACACATAGGCAGGTATGTGTATGTGCACGCTTGCTTTGAACGCAAGCCAATGGCATCCTCAAACTGAGAAAGAGACCAAAATCAGCAATTGCTAATCCACTTTGGGATCAAAAGCCACTTGCGCTGATTAAGAGTTGTCAGTTGGGGAGTTATTGCAGAGCAGTGTATGTCCTTCTTGCACACATCCTGACTTGCATTCAGTTCTACCCATTGTTTCTTTGTACAGTGGCCTGGGGTAACAATGAACTTGGGAATAAAGAAGTGGAAACCAGGCACTGGCTGCTGCAAGTGAGTGCTGTGGGCATAGCACAGTTGCTTTGCGGTAAAGGGTACCAATCCTTCTCTGCTGGCTGGACAAAACACTTGTTCTTGTGTGGATTGTATCCTGTGGCTCAGCTTACAGATCTGAAATAAGTGTCATGGAGATATGTATTTCCTCAGAGGATTTTATTTCTGCCTTTGTTCTCTCTCTTAGGGAGGAAGATGAGTATTCAGAGCTGCGGTCAGAGCTCAGCCAAAGCCAGCATGAGGTTAATGAGGACTCACGCAGCATGGACCAGAATTCTGTTTCGGTACCAGAGAATCAGTCCACCATGGTCACTGCAGACATGGGTGAGTTGTACTTCCTAGTTCACACAGTGTGTTCTCACAGTGGAAAGGTGTCATAGCCTTTGAAATGCAAATCCAAACATCTGGTGAGGAAATAAATTAATCTAGGCTGTGTTAATCACAAAAAATGCCGAACTTCATCACGATTACGAACTTACATGTGAAGTAACCTCTATGCCTTGATGTAGAATAGCTGTGCGGTCTAAAACGGAATGATTCTTCAGGATTGCTCATGACTTTCAGGAAAGAAGAGGGGGAAAAAAAGCTATTCACGTACCTTACACATGCCTGTAAAGTAGTTTAACGCTAGAAGAGAGTTGCAGACAGAGTAAATGCTGGGGGAAAAAGCGTGGGGAATGGAACTGCCTGTCTGGTCCGTTTACAGCCTCATTATAAAGGATGTCTTCACCTTCTGAAAACTGAGAGCCTTTTTAAGATATAGAATAGGGTTAGCCTACTGAAACAGATTTTTACAAGGGTAAATCCAACATAAGCTGTTCGGAATCAGTGCAAGGAGTAAGACAGTCTGTTACTCATTCTTTCTGGTTAAGAACTAAGAGAGCAAGCATCTTTCCTTCAGAATTTCATCTATTTTGTCATCCAAGCACAATTACTGATCATTTGAAGAACATTCAAGTATGGAATAATTGCTCTATAAAGTTTGCAGTGTAAGCATGAGCAGCTAGTAGGCCTTTAGTACAATAACATTTTAAGTGTTTGGGCACAATTGCTAAGCACCATAGCTGTAGACTAGCAGAAATCTGATGTAATCCTCACTATGACTGATTTCCAGAATTCTCTTCAGAATAATATTTCTCTTAATTTATTTTTAAAACCAAATAGTTGGTCTTCATTTTCTTCCTTAGGTAAACTATCTGAGTGCCTGGGAGCTTCTGCAGGTGATACTGTACACAAGCAGTGTTAATAATGTAGAAAACATGCTGATACTGTAAGCAACCATAAAAAGGAGATTTTCTGTATGATTTCTTAAATTGAAACGAGTGCACTAGCTCTGGAGCTGTATTAATTTATAAATGCAAGACCTGCCACAGCATATTCTTATTTCAGTGTCTCTAATTTCTAAAAACATGGATAGAATAATATTAATGTAATCATGAAGTGTCTGACATGAAATGCAAAGTATACTTACCAAAATATTGTATGGAGTCAAGATATTTTAGTAAAGGTTTTAATATTCTTAAAAAACGTATGTTTTTACTTTCAAAAGTTAATGCTTATTATTAAGTTTCTACTTGGAACAGATTCTAACATGAGGACCTTTATTTCCTTTGATTTTATTTCCTTTTTTTTTTTTTTTAATCTTCCTTTTGACAAAAAAAACCCTCAAACTAATTTACTTTTCAGCATTTATTTTGGATTTAGGACTTTGATTTTGTTCGTTATGGGGTGGAGCTGAAGCAGGATTTGTGTACATTAACAGCAAGTTATTCAAGTTTCTGCTAACAGTGTGAAACATGGCAATAAAATTAAATATAGCAACAGACAAAATAAGAGTATTAACTCCAGGGATTCTTGCATTTTTTTCTCTGTTTTCCTTCTATACATAGACTGTCCTTTTTGGGTTTTGTTTCTGTATTCATGTGAAAATAAATCCTTCTGTGTGTTTGTATACATATTTGTGTACATACACACACATACATATACACACATAGGTACACGTGTATATACAAATATGTATGTAGTTTTTTTATCCTTCTAGATATAAAAATATAAGGATAAAAAATCATGACCTAATAACTATGTGTACAACCTCGCTTACAGCCTTAATGGAATGAGCATCAGTGACTTACTAAAAACAGTAATACGTCATGATACACTAATGTGTGTGGATATGCTGCTCTGTTGCTACAGGCAATAAAACACCAAGAGTGAAAACTATCAATGCTATCCAGTATGTCTTGCAGAACTTGTGATTGGGTTGTACTGGTTTCCTGTGAGAAATGAGGTTCTCATTATTGTAAACTCTTGTTTTCTGGGGAAAATGTTATTGTAGGAACAAAACTCAGCGTACAAGGTCTTAAGAAAGTTGTTTAAATGGACAAAATGTCTGTTATAGAAGATGTTACAGAAACAAATAAGCAAACAAAATAGAGGTTTTTACTATTAAGCATCCTGTGTGGTATATGCTGCTCGTAAATGGGTATTATTATAAAGGGATTTTTGGTATTATTACAACAGATGGGTGGCTGCTAGTCAAGAACTAGTGAATATGACTTTACTCTTAAAGTTTTGTATGTGTTGCCCATTACATTTTTCATACAATACTGTGACATTCTAAATTCCTCTTTTGATCAGCAGTAGGTTTGTGTTTATGTACATTTGGCTGTGGAGTTAGATTTGTGGAGTTTATAGTTTTTTGCTTTCTGATCATCTCGTCCCTTCATCCAACTGCTTTCAGTCTCCTCTTGCACAGAGAGATTTGAAGGCAGTCTACAATAATCTGGTGTCTCACGTCTGTTAAATTTCAGACACAGTTCAATGCCACACCACTTCAGTCCCCAGTAAGAGCCACGGCTATGAGGCTAGTAGGGAATTCTGGCCACGGTGAAACGCTTGCAGCAGCCGTATAGAAATAACTCCCTCCAAGCAAGGATGCCTGCCACTGTTTTTTAGTAAGGTAGAGGAACTGCTGGTGCACTGCTCTCTCATAGGACACCACTTGTGTGCTGTACAGCTGGTAGTTATTGTGAACTCTTAACTAGTAAACCAGAAATACTAACTAGCACATCCGAGAGGCAGCACAAGGATGAGTTCTAGAATGTGTCTGCCTTACAAACTGCCACTGTCTGTCGCCAGGTCTGAGCCAAAGAAGAATGAAAATAATTTATGAAGTAGGTTAGCAAGGTGCTGAGACCCACTTGTTTGCACAGAAATGGAGGCTGCTGTGGCGGTGCCCAAGGCTCTAAAAGAGCTTTGCCTAGAGATTGAAGTGATTCTTTGGAGCATTTTATAATTAAAATAGCATTGCTGTATATGCTGCTAATATGCTCATAGTATGTAACATAGCAAAGAACAAGGTGTGCTGTTATGATCCCTAAATATTCTACAACTTCATTTGAGGAAGAAACAGCTACAAAAATTAAACACAGGCTCTAAGATAGTATGGATCATTTCTGTAAACACCAGGATTTTTTAAATCAGGCAGTGCCTAAATGCAACCACAAAAATTCCTCTGAAAAGTGCCAAATAATAATGCCAGTGAATGTAACAGGCAGGAAAAAATGTTGAATTTACAGAGAAAAACCTTTGAAGGTAATAAAATTGGGATAATAGGCCCTGAATGTCAAAAAGAAAAACAAAAAAGAAATAGCATTGTGTGTGAGCATGTGGTGTCTTAAAATGTCCCTCAGAAAAGAGTGGTTTTTGAAGCAACAATTAACACTTCAGATAAGTAGGGGGAGTGTTATTTGTCAGATGGGAGGCAACTTGTGATTTCAGTTGATGTGGTTATGGTATATTTAAGCCTATTGGTTGGTGAGGAAAAAGTGGCAGATTGCAAGGACATTCCTTGAACAGTATCAGTCCTGGCTGTTCCCCAACAGCCACTTCCTGGGTTAGAGTTTGTTTTTTCACTGAGTCACTAATTGTTGTGATAATTGCTTTGTTTTGCTTTCTTTTAGATAACTGTAGTGACTTGAATTCTGAACTGCAAAGAGTGCTGACAGGACTGGAAAATGTTGTCTGTGGGAGGAAGAAAAGCAGCTGCAGTTTATCGGTGGCAGAAGTGGATAGACACATCGAACAACTCACTACCGCCAGTGAACATTGTGATTTAGCCATTAAGGTAACGGTAACATTAGGCTCTAAATGCAGCCTGTACATTGCCTGAGACACCTGATCGAATTCTGTAGTGATAGCACTTCCAAAGGTGTCAAAGTACTTCACAGAAATCAACTCCAGCTCCCAGTGTGAGCAGTTACACCTGTTTTACACTGAATTCTCCAAGGCACAGGAGGAGCTACTAATAGACTTCCAATTTCAAATCAGAAGTGTATTTGTCTTATGCTCATTTGAGAGTTAAGAGAAACAGGGATAGTCAGCAGTTAATGTACTTTCTGAAGGTTATCCAGAAAGTAGGTTGCCACTTGCCTGGGGTCACACAGCTAGTCATTGACAGGTAACTGAAAACATGGTATGTAATACTCACTGGAATTTGAAGATAAAATGCCATAAACTGTGCATAAGTTGTGACTTTACTGTCTTAAAATATGAAGCTAGTATTTAACACAAAGCATGTGTGTTATATTAATTCTAATGAGACAAGCCAAACACGGGAACAAATAATTCAACTGATACTTGTATGTCTTGGTTTTATTGTACATGTAACAGAACAAGAAGGATGCCTAATAGCACATTAGTGAGGGGATTGCAATTCAGAACCTGAAAGTGAGGGAACCATAGAATATCTTACTATATACAGGGAAAGAGCTGAGTAAGTTTTTTATGTCAGATGGAAAAGCGTCAGTAACTCATTTATATAAGAACAAATATTTTGACATTTTCCTTTTAAAGTGAGGAGCTCCATGACCATTTTAGATGGCTTAGACAGCCCTTTGGCATACTACTGGGAAAGGTCCCCTCTGTCCCTGGTGGTGCCTGAGGAATATAATGGCCTATAAAAAAATTAAAGTTGAGTAGCAGTTTGAAGAATGTGAGTATATTTGAGAGAGAGACAGAGACAGGCTGACTTCTGGGTCTCTTGGGAACACTCTTAAAGCAGTTTGAGTGTCTCAGAGGATTAGGATCAATACTTTCAATGTTACCTAGTGTTAGCTGGAGTTTTAGGGCTAAGTATTCTCAGAAGTCAATATTCACCAAGAGAGAGTGTAGATCCTGTAAAACAGGTAGAGATTGGTATGTGTGAGGTCCACAGAGGTTTCTCAACTGAGATGAGGTGATATCTTCTGCAGGAGATGGATTCAACAGAATGTCAAAATAGATGCCATGAGCTTAATTCTCAACCTTTTTATTTTAACCCCATTATTGACTGTTGATTCAAATTAACCGCAGTCAGACTTTTATAATGAAAATAAATTGTCAGCAGCTTCTTCCTAGTCCAAAATGCAGGCCTTTTATTTTCATGTGATCTCTACGTGTGTAGCCATTTTGGGGGAAAGCTTCTCCCCACTGCCTGTGCTATAGAACCTGGGATTGTTTGTGTTTGAGAAGTGATAGAATGGAAAGGTTACTAAACCGTCAGGAAGATAGGAATCTCTCTGACACGCTCCGATTAAGTGCTAGGGAAGTGTGTCACCAATGTGTTTAATATAGCAAAACCTACACAAAGACCCCCCCTCCACAATTCCACCCATAGCTGCAGTTCATTTCTCCTTTCCTGCTTCCTTAGACAGAGAACTGAGAGATTTTTAAAACAGGTGAAATCACAAACAGAAACCTAAAATATTCTGACACTTTTACTTTGACTGTTAGCTTTTTTCTTTGCTGGTAGATTAATGCATTTAAATGTTTTGAGTCCTTCTGCCTCGATGGTTAAATTTCACGGGGTTTCTTTTAATGCTTGGTTTCCTTTAATGCTCTTGCTGGTAATTTTTTTTTTTTTCTTCTGCTTTTATACAAATCATGTGACCCTAGCTAGCTCAACTGTTTCTGACCCACAAAGAATGAAAAGGCCTTGAAATGAGATTTATCAGATTGTCTGAACAGTTACAAAACTATCCTTTGTTTAAGAAAATTTTCAGAGAGTAAGCTGGTTAATGCTTCGTATATTTTGAAGTGTAAATAACTATCAGTAACAGATGCCTACTGCTAAAACTCTACTGAGTAAAAAAAGATGTCAGTATTTCCAAACATGAACCATTTAGAGCATGAGAGCAGCTGCGCTGGGTCAGACCAAAAGTCTGTCTGTCTAGTGGCAGATGTCAGTGGAAAGACTGCATCCAGGAAGACATGCATTGTTGTATGTCTTCCTTCTCCTTCCTTCAAAGATGCTTCCAGCAAGGTGGGTTTAGGAACTTCTTGAGCCAGAGATGATGTCTTTGTGTTTAATAGTCGTGGGTGGAATTTTCTTCCATGTTTGTATCTAATGTGTTTTTAAACACATCTAAATTGTTGGCCTCCATAAATTCTGATAGGAGTAAATTCTACCATTGAGTTGTGCCTTGTGAAAAAGTGCTGCTTTTTGCCTCTTTTAAACCTGATACTTGCTGATTTAATCTGATTGTAACACAACACCTTTTGTAAGGAAAATAAGGCAGGGAGTAGTGATGGCAGTGTCAGAGACAAGATTGGAATTACCTTTATATGACATCCTGCCCTGCGCTCAGAACATTACATTGCAATTGAATCCTGGAATCCATGAAATCGTACCTGAATTTATCTGCTGTGCAGCAGCATGCTGGGTAAAACTGCTCTATAATACTGCTTTGGAGAAAAAATAAATGTAGTTTACATAGATATATCCATGTACAATATTTATGTTTTATTTACCATGGAGGGTGGTAGCATGTTGGTCATCAAACCAGAGAATTGTGGTAACAGTTTAGCCAGCAGTAGCATAGAAGCAAGCAGAAGGGTCGCTCAGCTTTGTTAAGGACTACAGAGCAGCCCTTAGTACGACTGTCGGGCACACGCTGATGCTGTCGCTGCCTGAACTTTGTACTTGTGTGGGCAGATGGTAGCAGTGGAGTCTGGAGAAACAGCAGCAGCCTCCTCTGTCTGAAGATACCTCAGTGGCATTGAGCCACTGCTGCTGCCTCCTCATGACAGTCCATCCTTTTCCTGTGTTGTTCCAGGCTTATCAGCCCCAGTAATGCTCTGAGGAGGAGAAGAGGCTTGGGAAAGGGAGGGGTTGGAAAAGCAACACTAGGAGCATGGAGAGGAAGGAGGCAGCAGCAGAACTTGGCATTAGAGGGGTGAGGAAACAACAGGGGAAGTGCGTGAAAGAGGAGAGGAGTTTTGGTGGAAAAAGGGAGAGGAGAAGACAGCAACAAAGAGACACGGTTTAAAATAAAGCTGGCATCATCAAGAGAGAGTGCTCCTGACATTACAGAGCTTTTTTCACAGTCTACTGCCCTTTGGAACTTGAACTCATCCTCACGTTTCATTGAAAAAACTTACCTTGTCATAGTTTGAGACTTGTAGGTCCAAGTGAAACTAATGTAAGGGAAAGCTGCCTCTTCTTTCATCTTACAGAGATGTGGCGAAGCATTGCTCTTTTAGGAAAGTTATTTAAGCTTACTACCAAACATGTAAGCGGAATTATAGTGTAGATACTCTGTCAATGCAATTTTATGTTTATGTCTCTAAATGTATTGCAGTTTTATGGAGGAAAGACATGAAATACAATTTAAAAGGATAAACTGAACTTGATTGCAGAAGTTTTGTCCCTCCTTCTTCCATAGAGGCATCTTGAACTAGTTGTCAAAAATAGGTTTTTTTCCTTTTGTATGAGTGCCTTTTCCTCCTCACTACGGAGTCTTGCTATAGCCAAGATTTGTTCTTTGATGTATTGAAAACAAAAAAACCCCAACTTTTCATTATAATGGACAAATGATAAAATTTCACTGATACCTTAATGTCAGACACTGTTGAAAACACTGTGAAGATTTCTTGCAGGAAAAAAAGCAGAGTTGTATATTTAACTTGGTCTGTCATTTTCAGCTCTACTTTAGTTGTTTCTTTTAGTCCCTCCCACATTAAGGACATAAACTTCAGTTAGTAATCTTTGTTATATATAAAAACCAGGTCCTTTTGAATAAAACAACTAAGTATACTATTTTTAACCTTTGTCATAGCAAATCTAAAAGTATAGGCTTTAGCTATAACTTGTTCTTGGATGATCCAGTGAAATTAAACCTTTTAGGTTGCCAGTTACATCATATATTAATTTATTTTCCATATTTCTTCCTACTATTTTAATGCAGACTCCTTTCAGAGAGAATCAAAAGCTTATAAGCAACATTTGGAGGGTTTTTGATTGTTGCAAAGGTCTTCCCGTAAGTGAAAAAATTTAACAGGTGAAAAAAAATTTAGGCACAGCATATGTTGTGTAGTAGAATCAGAACTGCATGTAGTTGCCTGACACGTTGAGTGTTATGCCGTGTTTCAACATGTTGAATGACCGATCTGACATTAAATTTAGGCATGGCAGCATTCCCTTGCTGGTTGCTAAATATTCTTTGTGCTGAACGGTGCCTACAAGGCACAGTTCTGAGCAGGGGGATGGTACAGGAAATGCTGAATGGCATTATACGTCCCAGAGAAACCCAGTCTTTTTTAGTCACTAGAAAGGCTGTAACGTCTTCTGGTATAACGTAAGCCTAGCCAAGACCATTTCTCTTTCTTTTATCTCTCTGTTGCCTCTAGGAGAGAACATGCTCAGGGGCACAGGAAGGAAGGGTCCTGTTTTTCTTCTGTCCCACTCTTGCCCTTTGGTGGAGTTGGTCTAGAGCTAAGAAAGGCTCCATGCCGTGCACATTCACAGGCTGCTACTTTCTGCTTGTTACTCAGGCAGGGAAACAACAAGCACGGTGCTCACCCTTGACAAGGAGTCATTAATTTGTTTTAAACTGTTCCGAGATGAAGCTACTGGAATTGCTGTTACTCACGGTGACATATGTTTCATTTGCATATAAAACATCCATTTGCTTTGGTGTTGGTCAGTATGAAATACTTTAATAAAATGGTCAAACTATCAAACAAAATAAGCAATAATTTTGTTTTATATTACTTTGTTTGATATTTCTTTAATATTGTTTAATATTACTTATCAAACAAAAGAAGCAAACTAATGGTGTTGCAGGGCTGGGTGTGTATATATATAGTTGCCTCTTACACACTTCTGTGTATCATTGGTCGTGTTCAATCATCTTTTTTCTGCTTCTTTCTGGTTTTTGATGACTCTTTTTGCAGACTGTAGAAGAGATTGAGGGTGTACTGGGACGTGACCTTTACCCAAATCTATCTGAAGAGAGATCTCGATGGGAAAAGGAGCTAGCTGGCTTGCGGGAAGAGAATGAGAGCCTCACAGCCATGCTGTGTAGCAAAGAGGAGGAGCTGAACAGGACCAAGGCCACCATGAATGCTATTCGTGAGGAAAGGGACAGGCTGCGTAGAAGGGTAAGGCTGCTGTGTCGATGTTGGCTTCTTGTTCTTCCTAGTGGGTTTAATTTTGTCACCAAAACAAGCTTCTCTTTAATCTCACTTCCTGTACTATCTGTAGGGCTTTTTGTTTTTAAAGCTGAGCTATACAGATTACACAACTAGGACGAACCTGGACATAACTGAAAAAGAGTGCATGATAAATGGCCAAGGTGTACAACCACCTGATGTCAGAAATCATGTGTTAATAGAAAACCTGGTATTCATCTCCAAGGAAGCATATCTAACTTGTCTATAGAGAAAGCAGATGTTCATTTAGTGAATTTTCCTGTGAGGCATTTTTTTCCTGTAAACAACTAATATTTCTTTGTTTTTGATGGGAATTCAATCTGTGATTAGGAGAAAGAAAAAGAGCAGCACTCCTGTCAGTGGGTAATAATTCTCAGAACTGAACAATGAGTAGTCCCAGCCATGTCCCACTTCCCTGTCTACATTTTATGATACTGCAAGGTCAGATAAAGGCCTTGTGCTCTGTGTGAAGTCCAAAGTAAAAAAAAAAACTGGGAATTTGTTCACAAAAAAAGATGAAAGATCTAAAGGATTGTGACCTAAATGTCTGTTAATTTTAAAATTTATTAACTTTGTCCCCATTAAATCTGCTGAGTTTTGGCTATATATGAAATAACTTTGTTCATAAAACAGGCAGTTTCAAATTTGTGTTCAATCTGAGTGACAATTTAGACCACTAAATCTTGTTAAAATTATTGGAAGTGGTGCTTTTTACCTACTGGCAGCAGATCAACCTTTTATGCAAATACTGTGTTTCTAAAACAACATTGTTCTGTAGTGACTGTATCATGTTAGCATGAATCTGTGTTGTGTGAGACTTCCAGTCTTCAAACATCAAGCCACAAATTACTTTTGCAAAACTTTCTAGCCTCTCTTAACACTAAAAACGGTATGTGTGATAAGGGAAGAATAGCAATCTGCTATCACATAAAACAAGACCACTTTAACTTTTTCTATGTAAAATTTAGTTTTATTATATACCATAACTGTAATTTATTTTCAGTTCTGAAGTTTTTGGACTGGTTTTATAGCAGCACTTTTTAAAAAAAAAAAAAGAGGCAGTACTATCCCTTGAACTACAGAAGTAGCATTTATACATCTGGTAAATTATTGTAAGAATGGGGGGGGAGAAGGGGGGGCGCAACAAACAGGTAGAGAATAAAAGCATGTGCTTGTGAAATTTGCTTACACCAATGTAGATATTGATACTACAGATGATAGAGATCATTACTGGGATGTCAAACAAGAAAAAATAAATGGCCTTGAGGATAGAATTAATAGAAAAAGATATACATTTTAGGAAGTATGTAATGCAAAGTTAAGGTGTTTAAAAGATTGGTAACAAAAATTTATGCTGACAGCCAGGACCTCCTCAATTAAAAACAAACAAACAAACAAACAAACAAACAACAAAAAAAAAAAACACAAACAAAAAACCCAAACAAAACAAAAAACAAACAAACAAAAAACAAAACAAACAAAAAAAAAAACCAAAAAAAAAAAAAACCAAAAAAAAAAAAACAGAAAAGGGGTAAGAATTGGTGTTTGTACTCTCAGGGATCAGCATGGCTGAAATGTTGATGCATGGTGGCAAATTCGATCCTACAGTGTACCAGATGAATTATTTCCAGTGGAGATTGGAAAGATTGTATAAAGAGTGGTATCTGATCTGGAATGTTATATGTAGTTTTTATCTCTCACATTTTAAAAGGTTCAGTTCAAATCGACAAACAAAGGTGCAGAAGATGGTTAGATAAGTGGGAAGCTTGCTTGGAGAAGTGACTTGAAAAGGTTGTACTCTTGGCAAAGCAAAATCTGAATTTGGTTTCTCTTTACAAGTGCTGGAGAAAGCAAATAAGGCTACTGACCAACTACTTTGAAAATGAGGCTTTAAAATATTAAAGTTACGTTTGTATAATGAAATGTATGACTCTGCAGGGATACCTATTAAAACCAGGATCATTGCTTTAGGATTGTATTCAAAGGAAAGCTAAAAAATGTACTTCTAGTTCTCTCAGTTAATACAGCTGCATCAATTCTACAGTTGCCCTTAGTATCTCTGCTCAAAACTTGTTCTGTCTGGCTGCCATCAGTAGCAGAGGATTGGATTAGATGATGAGGAAAATTGCTGTTTAGTTCTGTGTATGTGGGTCCTGCTTGACTTGATCAGTCTATATTGGAATCTGCAGAGAACCAAGCATTTGTGAAGCCATACAAGTACTGGTTATGTCACTGAATATTTCACTATTTATTTAGCACAGTCAGGGCCTAGGTCTGAAAGGGTAGTGTGTTCATCTAGTTGCTGGCCTGTCTGTTGGAAGTTAACAGGGATGCTGTGTGTGTTACTGATGTGTTTCTGTTATGGAAGCATCTCTAGTGGAAGCAGGATTGAGGTCATCAACTTGTTTCATGTAAGTGACTAGAGCAGTTGTCGGATGGTACCACCAGTGGGATGTTACTGACCCAACCTGTGTTCAGACCGCTGACCCTGGGTGAGGGGGTAAGTCTTGAATTGCTCTGTAGAGCAAGCCCGTTTAAACGTCCATTCGTTAATGAAAAGAATTCTTCTTGGACAGATGGGATAGATGTCTTGCCTGATAGGTGAAGGGTTAATGTTGGATTGGCATGGAGCATAACAAAATCAACCTCTATATTCAGACTTGGCTAGCAGGGGATTGGTTTGGTTTGGTTTTTCCAGTTGCTTTCATTTAGTTTGCACCTATAGAGGACTTTATTGAAATGCAGTTTTTAATATCATACTGACCTTGCAGAACAACAGGCGTATTGCTCCCACCAGAGAAGTTTCATCCTGGCATGTGACTGTCAGCAACGCTACGCAACTGTTGCACTGGAAACCATATTTGAATTTTTAATGTAACTTTGTGTCCATCATTGCAACAAAATAAACATTTTCTCTGACCTCTTAAATATTTTCTGAATGCCACCTGAACCCAGAGTCACTTCAGATTATTTCCCTGGAGAGTAGGGAAGACAATCCAGCCAAAATTTAGTTATTGTTCTTCTCAAATTAAATTGGATGAAGTGAATAAGCTTGAAGTTGACCAGATCAATAGGTCTGTTACTTTAGACCAATGTCTGTAATCAAGCAGAGTGCTTTCAATACATTTTTCTCAGGCTTGTTGGAGATTTAATTTAATTAGGTATTTACTGTGCTCAGCTAACAGATTGAGCGGCTTTCTGGAACAGTAGCTAAGAAACAATATACATACAGAGTTTGTTTCTCATGGGTCATTAGTAAATGAGGTAATCGCTTATTTCTGTAGGGCACCTGCAGTGAGGCAGCCAATTTCATAATGCAGAGGTTTATTTTACTTCTGTATGATATTGCCATATTAAAAATAAAATCTATTTAAGTCTGGGCCAGTTAGTGCCTTAGAAACTGCTTACACATAGCTGACCATAATCCTCAATACAGTAATACAGAGAAGATGCTGGGGAACTTCTGTACCGGTTCATAGGATTAATATTATTATTACAGGAGAATAAGGTTACAATCAGGTCAGCATTATTTAGAACTGCTATATGTAGTAACAGGCTTAAATAGTAGTAGAAAAAGTAGTATTTGTCTTCTTACACAAAATCTCTTGTATCCACCAGGCGAGTCAGATGAGCAGCACTGATTGAGTATATAAACGCCATCACGACTGCCGAGCAAAACTTTTGGGTTTTTTAATTACTGCCCATGAAAGTTGCTGGATGAGTAGTGCCTCAGCACAGTCCCAGGCAGACGGTTGGCATAAGAACTGGTGGGTGTGAGCAGTGTTCAGGCTTCCCTGAGGCTGTTCTTCAGCACAAAGTCTAAAGTGAAAAGGCAGTTCCAGGTGTAGGAGTCTGTTAAGTCTGTTCTCTGTGTAAGCCATATGTCAACTTGTTCAGATAATCAAATGCTTTTAGTTGTGAGGATTATTCTGTAAATGCTCCAAACTCCGCTGAATTCACCAGACTGACCAAGAGAAAACCAGATCATTTTATCTGTCTTCAATTTAAGACCTTCATGAAAACATAATCTGCAGAGGAGTGGGAAAGTGACATTTTAATGCATGATCTGTCCAACTGCCCAGATTGTTCCCACTCCAAGAAACTTCATCTTAGCATGAGGGCTCTCTCAAAATACCTTGCTCTTGCGAGGAGTTGAAACATACCCAAACCACTGCAGGAGTCAGATCTGTGGCCTTGCAGGCATTCTTGAGCCCACACTATTCTCAGATGACACAAAGCTGGCACAAGCTGCTCGACTGTCCGTGTTTTGGCATCATTCATTTTGGGATCAGAAGTTACTGTTCCAGATTGCTAGAGAACACTGATACGTTGTGGGCCTTTAGAGATTATTATCAGCTTGCACAGCTTAAAGTGATCCTTGAACTGTTCTGTCTCCTTGTCTCTTGGTACACACCAGAAACCTGAGGTAGCAGCCAAAAGCTATTTCCATTCTCTGCCTCCATAGTTCCATGGTATTTGCTTATGCAGCGGTATCTCTGCTTAGCTGTTAATGAACTAGAGCTTTGCTTCTGTTTACAAGCTGGTATGCAAATGCTCCGTGATTAATCTGAAATTAAATCAGAAAAAGCCTGAGATAGGCTTACTGCCCTTGCTTGTGTTTGTTTCTGCTGTGTGCTAGCAGGGGTCAGAACATTTCAGTTGTGCTCAAGAGTTTTTAGGGCAATCTACCCTTCACTTCCTATGTCACATCCTGCCATGTTCTTGGGTTTTGTTGCTTTGCATCCTTTATAGGGGTGCAGCACCCAAATCTTTTAACATGGAGCACTGCATGAGGGACTTTTGTCTGAAAGGTGTCAAAAGCAGAAGAGCACATTCTTGGTAACCTGTTTGTACCACCCAGTGCACTGTAGCCTCTCCTGCTACTTAAAAAAATCGTATGTACAAACCCTAGCAGCATACCCGTTCTCCTGTAGCTTGTTGTGTCTGTG